GTGTGTGTGTGTGTGTGTGTGTTGGGGGGTGTGTGTGTGTGTGTGTGTTGGGGTGTGTGTGTGTGTGTGTGTGTGTGTGTGTGTTCAGGCAAAAGACAGTACAGAACAGCAGGGAGGCAGAGTAGGGAGATGAGACAGAGGGTAGGACAGAAAAGCAATAAAGTGCTAAATGAAAAGATTGTCTGAAAAAATAGTGTTTCTCACCATGGATAGCCCCCATCCTCTTTGATGATTCACCCTAGAACCTTTTACATATTTTAACCAAGGCACCTCATTACATTGTTATTCTGTGACTATCACCCCACCTGATCATGAGCTACCCGAGGGCTGGGATTGTCTTGTTCATTTCTGAATTCCCAGAATGCAGCAGTCCTTGGCGCATAACGATTATTTCAATAAATATTTGCGAAAAAATAGAATCAAATACAACACGGGCGCTAACACTTACTGAGCTGTTAACTGTGTGCCATCCACGACGCTACCTGCTTTACCTGTATTAATTCATTTAAACAACGAGAAAAGGAAGGACTAGAGGGGAAAATGGTAGGTGAAAATTACTTTTGTAACTCAACCAAGGTGAACACTTTAAAGACCCTGCGTGTACCGTGGAGCAGGGCGCACAGAAAGACCGGTGGTGGGGTTTTCGCTGCCCCGGCGGCCGGAGGCGCTTAGCCTACCAGTCGGGAGGCGCGGCAGCTACAGCACTGTACTCCAGCGCCACAAGGGGCCAAGTGCAAAAGCAGCAGAGGCGCTTTTTAAGCCTATTTTGAGGCTTTGAAAGTAAAATGATTTTAGAAGTGACACCCCTGGAGGAAGCGTAACGACAGCAGCAGTGAACCAGGCAATTTGGCCACCAGGTTTTACGAAGCCCTTAGCGGTGAATCAGTTGCTGAATTAGGCAGAGTCAGTTCTTCATGTTCCTAAAACAACATCGGAGCAAGGGAACCAGACCAACTCGGTCAGGACGCCCCGGCACGTCAGCGACCCATAAAGTTCATCCCCGGGGCCGCCACGCCGGCCCCACCGCGCAGGCGCCGCCACTTCCCAGGCCCCGCCCCGGCCCCGCGCAGACCCAGGCTACGTCCCTGGCACTGCGCATGCACACTGACCGTATCGTTGTCGACGTCTCCGAGGCAGATCGCGTGCGGAAAGAGGCTTCCGCTGAACTCCAGGGCCACGCGCTGTACGTAGCTAACCGACCTCATCGAACTGCCAAGGGCTAAAGGGTCGGGGAGCCCCGCTAAATGTTCCCTGGGCCCCTCCCGACAGCTGCCGGAGCGGAAGGCCACCCAAAGCGGAAAGTTACGTCACCGCCTGAACCTCCAATTCCTTGCCTAACCTTAGAGAGGAGGCGGGTCTTCCGAGCCCTCTGGGCTGGGGGCCGGCCTGACCGGCTACTGATGTGAGTGACAGGGGCGTGGGCCACTCGTTTTCACCTGAGGGCTGGCGCTCAAGGGTAGACCTACCCTAACCGGGCTGATCTATTCCCTAGGCAACAGGGCTCGCTAGTGCTTGACCTAATAACCTTGACCTCTTTCTTTGTTGCCCTGACAATTGAAGATTCCTAGCCACCAGACCATCCCTGAGAATCATAATAATCGTAATCACTGACAGTTGTTATGGTCCCCAGCAGTGTTTTTTGAAGTTAGCCTTTGGGAGTTGTGAAAACATAGTATAGAATAGAAAATATCAAGTGACTTAAGTATTGTTTTTATGACACCTTTGTTTCAAGTGTATATATTTATATGTGTATATACTGGCTAATGAAAAAAAAATTGTCTTAACGGTGTATGTGCTTTGTGGTCAGTAGTTTGAAAACCACTTGATGCAAAGCACATTTCACATATATTATTTCATGTAATTAGCACAACAAACCCGTGAGCTTTATTATTATTCCAATTTTTTGGATGAGGAAAACAGGTTCAGTAAGATTAAGTAACAGGGCAGAAAATGGTAGAGGTGGAACTCAAACCAGGATTGTTTGATCCAAAACCCCAGGTCCTTTCTATGTCATTTATGTCATTATTCCTAGAAAAGTCCTCAGAGTTCAAGTCAGGGTAGCTGACATTCTGGGTCTGTCCTGCCCTGTGGCCCCCCACCCTAAAGCCCTTGCCTCCCTCCCGCGGTGGCCTCACTAGTATAAATGGAACATCACCATCATGGCTGCCCTCTAAGGGAAACTTTTCATGTTGAATCAAGTCCAGGCTTTCTTTGGGATGCCTCATCAATTAAGGCATCAAAAGTATTACTTATGAATTCCTGCAGGTGCTTTATGCATTTTAAGGTTTAGGTCTGCCGGCCCAGGCTGATTTATACATTGGTCTTTAAGAATCAACACTGTGAAAGTGAGGTTATCTACTTCACCTGGGGATGTTGGACCAGGGCTGGTCCTGCTTTGTGAACCTACAGAGAGAAGGCGCTGGAGGGCAAGACCTTTGTGCCTGGGGGCAAGGGAGGGGGAAGGACACAGTTTGTCCTAAGAGGTCCCAAGGATCTGATGGCGAGATAAGATGAGAACAAGGAACAGCAGGTCAGAACATCAAACAGGAGGCAGTCTAAACAAATACTGGGACTGCAGATACACTGAAGTTTCTGTTTTTGTTGGTGTACTGTGGGATCTTCCAGGTCCATGCAAAGGCTCTGGGTTACACAGATGTACCTGGTACTTTAAATATATGGTCTCATTTATGGAGGGGTTGCGTGCTTCCTCATCTTGCCCTACCACATCTCTATTCTTCTCATCTTACTTCAAACCCTAAGCTTCATGTGAGGTTTTAAGGGGTGAAAAAATCAAGCCAGTTTTAAAATATTTACCTCTAAATGCAAAGTTAAATAATTTGAATTATGTTTCTTTTCACTACTATTTCTACATTGTTTTCTCTTTTTCCAGCGCTTTGAGTGAAATCGTAAAAAAAAATAATTCAGCACAAAATAGATGCAGATCACCCTGCTCTGTCACCAAGTACCCTGGCCTGACCCAGTTCTCTGAAATCATACTCTGACCCAGCTCTCCACAATGCCTTAGTTTTATCTTCCTCATCACTTGGCCTCTTGTTCTTGACCTTTCTGTGCCTGGTGGGTGCCTATTTTTGTTGGTTGTTTTTGCCATGAAGGTCATGTCATTATGATCACAACTTGGATACCACGCCTTTTGGCTTTTGTGAAGAGAGCCAAATAAAGTTAGAAAGGGAGGAAAGATGAGTCTCCAGAGAAATATGGCATGAATCAAGTCTTTCCATTCCTATGCCTCTCCCCACCTTGTGTCAGTTACTTTAACTGCATTGTGTGTTAAAGTCACAGTAAGTGGAATACAGGACTAGGCACTGCAGAGACCCATGTGGACAGATCCCTGGCTCTCCAAGGAGCACCCTTGTTCTTGGCTCTTTCTAGTGGGATGGTTGGTCAGTCTCCACTGGTACCATCTTGTTTCAGCCAAGCACTCTATGAGCATGGGTTTTGGCTTACTCCCCAGAACTGCCTAACCAGACCATCTTCCTGGTTAGATGACATGGATACAGTTGTGTGGGTGGCATACTCTTTACAAACCAGCCAAACAATAGCTTCAATAGAAACCTGCTATGGGAGGGGAGGCATTAAGTGGGAAACATTTCTATGGAGCTTCTTTGTCCATTTCTTTCTTTTTCTTTTTTTAAAATATATCTTTATTGATATCAGAGAGAGGAAAGGAGAGGGAGAGAGATAGATAGAAACATCAATGATGAGAGTCATTGATCGGCTGCCTCCTGCACGCCCTCGACTGGGAATTGAGCCCACAACCTGGGCATGTTCCCTGACCTGGAATCAAACCCCGATCACCTGGATCCTAGGTTGATGCTCAACCGCTGAGCCACGTCCTGCCAGGCTTCTTTGTCCACTTCTTCCTCCAAGAGTAGTCAGAGGGGTCCTATCAAGTTCTGTCTGACTAGGATGCCCAGGTAAGAAACAGGACCTTTAAAGCTCTTTCTACAAGTGAGGCCCAGAGCCACTCACCATCCTTTCTAATGGACTCAGTTTGAGAGACTTCCTCATTCCCCCTCCCCCTCTAGTTCACAGTGCACCTTAGCATATTAAAGGTTCTGAGAAGTCTTGAAGTACAGAAACCTGATTCTCAAACTTACTTGACCTACAAATTAAGCAGATCAGTGTAGGCAGCCCTGCCAAGTGAAATGTTATTCAGAGCTTTACTTTCAGTCCCACCTGTCACAAGTTTGGCCCTATCAGAAAGGACCAACTCTGGAAAGCTTTGATCCTAGAACTTATCAGGGTTGTCTCTTCAAGACTATTGGCCATTAACTAGTAGTTCTTCATTGTTACCCAAGAACATGAGGAAATGGGCGTAAAACACAAAGGATGAACATGTTTTAGAACCGCGATAGAGGTGTTGGGTGCACAACATTGTAATTGGACTAAATGCCAGAGTTAAAAATGGTTATGTTAATTTCACCTAAAAAAAACACACCCCAAAACAAACCAAGAACCATTTTATATGTGAAGCACTTCTAGCAGTGGAACAGACAATCCTAAGGAGCATACAGGTTTCAGGGGTTTGTAATAGGGCATGCTGGTCTCTTCTAGCCAAAGAACTCTGAAAGTTCATGAAGGCTTTGCTTTTTGTTGATCATTCCTCCTCAGAACCACATTGTGAGTCTCATTCTCACTTTGCTTCTGGAATTGGTATATTTAGTGTTGATTATACGATAATAAGGTTTTATTATGATTCTTAGGCTTTATTATGATTTTTTTTTTTTAAATCCTCACCTGAGAATATTTTTTCCATTGCTTTTCAGAGAGAGTGGAAGGGAGAGAGACACACATCCATTGGTTGCCTCCTGCACACGTCCCAACCAGGGCCGGGGATGGAGCCTGCAACCGAAGTACATGCACTTGGCCAGAATCAAACCCGGGACCCTTCAGTCTGCAGGTCAGCGCTCTAACTACTGAGCCAAACTGGCTAGGGCTATGATTCTTATATTTAATGAGGATAGTGGGTGCATCCAAGTTGTCTGAGGTTGGCAAGTAGCTGGGGAACTACAGCCAGCCAGCCATATCAATTTCCAGAAAGAGGACAAGTTTTCCTCTTCTTTAGAATGCCTTCAACTCTTATATTGGTTTTATTCAGCACTGCCCTCAGCCCACTGTCATTTCAGCTTAAGGGTTACAAGGCTATGAGGTGTTCTGCATTTGGAAAGGGAAGATTGGTCAGAAACAGAAGGAATGAGGTATGAAAGTTACCACTGTTTCTCTTTCCTTTCCCCCCTTCCTTCCTTTCCTTCTCTTTCTCCTTTCCCTTCCTTTACTTCCTTCTCCTTCCCTTCCCTTCCCCCCTCCTTCTCTTTCTTTTTTCTTTTTAAAATAAACCAGTTGTTTAAATTGTATACTACCAATAGTGTTGTCTTTCTGTCTGGATGTTCTTTCATCAGTTGAGAAACAGATGATAGATGATGAATGAATCAATATTTGGATGGTNGTATACTACCAATAGTGTTGTCTTTCTGTCTGGATGTTCTTTCATCAGTTAAGTTGAGAAACAGATGATAGATGATGAATGAATCAATATTTGGATGGTCAGAAAGGCAGATGGATGGATGGATGGACGATTTACAGTCCCATCCACAGTACATGAGGGTCCCCTTTTCCAACATCCTTGCCAATACTTATTTGCTGACTTTTTGACAATAGTCATTCTGACAGGTGTGAGGTGATAGCTTACTGTGGTTTTCCACTGTTTAATTCTTGATTTTCCAGTAAGTTTTCTAAAAAGGTACTATTTTTTACTAGTCCCACCTAAAATGCCTTTTACATATTATTTCTCCAACTGAAATGAGATACATAATTCACCCATACATTCTGAGTGTGTACTGATGCGGGTAAGGCAGGCTGGGCCAGGCCCTAAAGGGGGTTTTGGCCTGTGATAGATTCTGATCTTCAGCATAAATGGGACAGGAAGTCATTGATAAGGTGTTAAGCAGTTGGAGGGATATGACTTGAATGCAGTGCAAAGGGAAATGCAGGTGGGGCAAGAGGGGATACAAGTTTTGTAGGACAAGAGAGCAGGCTGAAGGTGTATGGTGATGACGGAGAGAATAGAGATTGGATATATGGTGTTTAGAAGGTAAACTTTGTAGAATTGATGTTTGAACCAACACTAAGATTATTTTAAATTTTCTAGAAGCTACTAACAGTTAAAAGTACTGGATGCTACTAGTTTTCCTCATTTGAGCACATTCTCTCCATATGGAAAGATTTAAGTGTTCAAGAGGAAGGTGCAATTGCCCGGAAATGAATTTCAGCATTGACCAGAGCAAAGCGGAGTAGATGGTGGGTTCATTTTTAACCTTAGACTTCTGGCCACTTTAATAAAACATCCTCACAAGACATTTATGGAACA